TGTGTATGTACCTCAGAATCTGCGAGTCAGTTGCTGTCGGTCATATTATGTGCAATGTTTGCACTCGATCCCATCATTATACATTCGCAACCGTTGATGTATACGTCTGCGTGTGGGCTTGTGTATCGCATATAAACACATGTGTCCGATGAAGCAGGAAGGTGTAAGCACAAGCATATTTGGTAAGCATACACATAGAAGACTGGACGGTGGGGTGAAAGTTTCAAACCCATATTAGTAGGTACAAGTTGTACAATGCCGGAGACCTGGATAATAACTCCTCTCACACTACCATTAGACCACATCTATATCCTATTTTATCGCCTAGAGATGATTATAGCTTCAGCGGATACGTATCAAACTACTGTGTGACTATATATGCAAGTATATGGTATATGAATACGGCAACACGGCAAAAATGCAAATACATGGAAGTATATGGTATATAAATACGGCAACACAGCACGTAAGCATTCGTGTAATCATAAACGAGCAGCTTTACTTTTAGATGCAACAATACATTGGTGAAAACAGCTGCCCAAAGCTCCGACGATGTGTACATGCGAGCGGTAAACCTACCGCGCAAACAACGAGTTATTTACGTACACACTAAGTGTGTAGAAACTCAAACAGACGTACACTTGCTCAGCATGATATATTTGAAGACAAAATGCTGCGTTGAACTCTTCGCGAACATGAAGAATTATATAATATCGAATTCAGTATTGTATACCAGATAGAAAATACGCACTATATCACAAAAGAAGCCATACAGGAGTTCATGTTAGAGTGTATCATACATTCGCATTCATGTACAGGTGTGAGCGTTTGTAGCATACGCTAGATTCTTTCAGGTTTGTTTGATGCTGAGCATTAACGCGCACGTACGAAGGAATATTTTAGAATAGTTCACGGCACGGTTACAAAGTTCTATGTAGCCCAGAGGTACACAAATAGTTGTCCAAACCTAATATACAAGTATGCATACATGTTGAACTGTGTGCGTGCATTTGGGTGAATGGAACTGGTAAACATATGTATACACTTGGTCCTCGTATATGTATGTAGATATAAACACAACAATGTAATACTCACGAACTCGCTGGTATGAATCGACGATTGACATATAAAACTGCTGAAAGTAAAAACTGAATAATATATTGCGCATAAAGTGTCCGTAAATCGCTGATCTAAGGAGCTCTCCGAAAACTTTCAGCACCTTCGTCATGCCGCTTGCTTCTATAGCGAGTAATGTGCTCTAAATTCTATACATATCACATGTACATGCTTCATAGCATACAACATACATAAGCTTCTAAACATATCGCGTGAACAAGCACATAAATAGTTCACATCAGCAAGCTCCTTAACATAGCACGTGGACAAGCTGTGCATACCAGGGTACCGGGACGTCCTATTTGGGTGGCCACAATCACATCCTTGTCTGCAAATCGGTTGATCAGTAAGTCAGTGGTCACCTCATTGAACACAAACGCTTTCTGGATGGTTTCCAGGGGGAACGACGCCATCATTCTGACTTGTAGTAGGGTTGTATATAAACACGTAGCTCGCAACATGAGCTTGGTTTATATATTATTATTTACATTTTTATATATTTATAAATGCATGTTTGTGATTGTAACCCAACAACCCTGCCGTAACGTTCGGTACATATTTTGGGCGCGCGAAAAGTTTGTGGATGGGCTCTCACCCGTAGCCGTTCACGTGCACTTATCATAAACAATCTGTGTATTTTGTAAAAAATAGTATATAGTAGTGATACTGTGATAACATACGAATATAAATGCACACACGTTCCATAGTGTGCGCACACATATCCCATTGTATGCACATACACCCAGTAGTGTACTAGTATTATCAAGGCTAGCTATATCCCTGTAGCATAGCCTTCTATCGCTCCTTACTGCGGTATGTACAGATTATCACAAATAGCACAGGAGGAATAGTGTAAGTTAGTAGAATAGCCTTACTTGTTGTGGTAGTTGTGCATCGAGGCTACCATATTCAACTGATTGTACATGTGCAGTAAATCCTTATAACACTACATACAACGGCTGTAAAATTAACAAGTACAATGATTGATCGACTCAACGAGGACGCAGATGTGGTGATCACCGAGGCGCCCCAGGGCAATGTGCTGGGCGAAGAAACTGTTCCCATGCCAACCGGTAGTGATAAGATCGGGTCTATAAATAGAGTCAGTCAGATCGGTGTCTGTGACGAGTGTACGCGGTAGGTCATACATACACAGCGTGAACGCTTATGGGTTGTGTGTGGGCTGGTCAGATCACACGATAGACAGGCTAGCAATACATTTCTATTGCATGCATTCTGTATAAGAACTGTGCGAGGCTCGCCAGAGCTATGCACGAGATTGTCTCGTTAACCTTTTTGTCTGTACTTCTGAACTCTTTGTGAAGGCTGGGCTACGAAGAGAAGATGCCGAATATGGACAACCAAAATGAGCTCCTTCTCTGGGCCGCTCGACATGGGCATGCACACTACTGCCGAGATCTGTTGTATTTCACGAACGAGGGACACTATTCTATCAAGCAGACTAACTGTGAAGGCCTCACCCCACTGCATCTTGCTGCACGGTATGATGTGTGTGTGCTTTGTAGGTGTGCTGGTAGTGGTACATGGATGCGCTATGTGTACAAGTCTCTGGTTGCGTCCATCCTGGACGTGGATGTGAATAAGTAGTCCGTGTTCGAAATCGCTACCATGCACAGACGTACATCAATTCACTTGTACTTAAAACTAACAACAAACATTTACAACGTACGTAAGAAATATATGTCGTATTCCACCTACATTCGTATGTATAGCTTAAATTGCTCGTTAGGGTTCATCCACGACTATCACTCTCCACAGATGCCGAGAAGCGCAAGTAGACTATGTCTGGTCGATACCGTACATATCTGAGATTTGTACTACTTGCTACTATAACAACAATATTAGGAATCCGTATATTCGCATATATGTAAGTAGACTATGTCTCGTCACTACCGTACATATTTGGGATTTATACGGCTTCCTAGTATAACAACGAATTTAGAAATTCATATACACGCATATGTGCAAGTAGATTGTCTATGGAATACGCAAGTAGATTGTCTATGGAATACCATATATGTCCGGGCTTTATACTGCTTGCTACTACAAGAAAATTATTCTAGAACTTCATATACTCGCATATGCGCAAGTAGTGCAATATTAGCGTGTCGCTCTCGTGTTATAGTGTTTCTCAGTAGACACCGCCCTGTCCACTTCTACAGACGCGGACACATACAAGTGGTGCAATTCCTAGTACTGGACGCGCGCACGCCAGTAGACCATCGTACATCCTCGGACGATGATTCGTTGACAGCCCTACACTTGGCTGTGTGCGCCAATGAGATGGAGGTAGTGGAATTCTTGGCCACTCAAGGCTCAGACATCAATGCGAGGGACTCGCATGGGTACACCCCGGCTATGTTTGCGGCACAGGTATGGGCCGGATGGGGTGGGTAAATGTATATGAATGTATGCATGTATCTGTATCTGGGACATCTATTAGGTCGCATTTAATGTCACCGTGAGTCCTGTTGTCCTACACATAAGTAAACAGGACACAAACTTGAAAGATATGCATAGTTGGAGTCAAATGGGTCTTGAATGTTTCCAATTTGACCGGAATGGGTTGTGTTATCTGGTGGCAGCGACAGAGTGCCTGCAAGTGAAAACGAACTAAATATACTTGTTCTCACTTCCTGGCCAATGTGGCCTATTATCGAGAGCTGTTTGCAAATGGCAACGAACTAAATATTTTATGTGCTGTATTTCCTTTTATTTGTTGCCCAATGTGGCCTATCATTGAGAGATGACTACAAGTATCAACGAACTGAATATAGCACATTGTATATAATTGCTTCTTCTGCAATGTAACCTATAATCAAAGAGCTAGTCTCTATTCACCATGCACCATAATACTGGGCAACTAGCAAACCAGTCCACCCGCCATGCCCCATAATACTGGGCAACTAACCAACCAGTCCACCCGCCATGCCCCATAATACTGGGCAGCTAACCAACCAGTCTATTCATGCCCCATAATACTGGGCAACTAATCTACCAGTCTATCCACCATGCACCATACTACTGGGCAACTAACCAACCAGTCTATCCATCATGCACCATAATACTGGGCAACTAGCAAACCAGTCCACCCGCCATGCCCCATAATTCTGGGCGACTGGCCAACCAGTCTATTCACCATGCACCATAGTACTGTCCACCCGCCATGTCCCATAATACTGGGCAACTGCCCAACCAGTCTATTCACCTTGCACCAATATACT